TTTTCAGGTGAGGCCAGTAAAGTTTTCCATTACGCCATTCGAATATATTTTGAAGTCGTCGTGGCCTAAAGGATAAGACGTCCGGTGCATTCGTGTTTAGCGATGCACCGGTGTTCGAAACCCGCAGGCAAGTACCAATTTTTCTAATGTACACAATCGACTTCCACGGTTATTGTATAGGGTCGTGTAATAAAAATCAAACCCGCAAATTTATAATTTGCGTAATTACTGATGGTAGAACGTCTTCAGTCCGCCCAGGTAGGTACCAACACTCTGCCTATTTCTGTCGTAAAGCAGCAATGCGTTTCGGTTTGAAGGGCAGGGCAGCTGTTGTACTACAAAACTAAGACTTGGAACTCATATCTCAAGGCGAGTGTGGGGGCATTTACGTCTATGGGCTCCGGTAACCACTTCATACCAGGTCAGTCAAGAGCTCGGCCAGCCATCTGAGCAATGTTATGGGTGGACGAGCTCACACCCCACCTGGTGTTAATTGGTTACCGGAGCCCATAGATATCTACCTTGGGATATGTGTTCTAAGGTCTCAGTATAGTTACAATGGTTGACCCACCCTGTTAGAGCTGAAACGCATTACTGCTTCACGGCAGAAATAGGCAGGGTGGTGGTACATACCCGTGCAGACTCACAAAAGGTCCAACCACCAGTAAAAACTTATATTGTAAAAATATATATTGGAATTCGTTTTTAGTGAGCTTTTTGTCCAACGGAAGCCATCTTTGTCACTTGAAGACTTAAGTGGACCAGGCGTACGTAAAATACTAATAAGGATTTATGATATCCTGGCCTATCCCATTTCACCCAGTGGATGTCGTCAAAGGCGACAGAGGAACAGGAGAATGGGCATTATATATCAGCAAACTGAAATTATCGTCATTTACAATTGTTAGGGCGCATTAGCATGATGCCAAATTCTGAAGCGAATCAGACATGCGTTACGGTTTCAAGGGTGGGACAACCCTTGTACTCATACAATTAAGGCAGGTGCCTAAATTCACATTATGATATCAATGGGCTCTGGATTTATCATCAGATGTTTAAATATGGAATTAAAATAAACTAATTCCGAAATATTAGAACTTAAAAATGATATAACGTCGTCCCATTTTAAGATTACCATAGTCGAATCACAAATAAGGGACCTCCTATTTCCTCGTGTCAATCTGTAGATAGGTACGAATGTCGCAGCAATTTTTCTTTGGACGTATTCCAAAAAAGAAAAACGGTACGCAATAATGATTCGTAAACATTAACTGAAATAAAAAGTTGGGGGATTAATTCTCGGAACTAGGGAGCTTTTTAAGCTTGTCAATTCGTAATTGAGTTCTAACGTATACGTAAATAAATAGATACTACATATTACCATTTTGACTTTGAACCCCCAAGGACACCGTGACATGACATTATATCTCAACGGTGGTACATTGATTGGTGACCAAAGTCAAAATCCCATAGACAATTTGAAGTAAGGCCAAAAAGCCCAAGTTAATTTTGAATGTAAAAAAAACAGCTTCGAAAATACTGGGGCATTATTGACACGACGGCAGTGATTATACCTATAAGCAAAAAACCACGGTCAGACTCCATAACTGTTTTTTTTTTCTTTCTACTTTAAGTATTTTTAGATATATTATATATACCATGCAGAATATTTTAATTTCAAATTAATTCGAATGCCGTGCTAGAATGTGGCACATAAACTTGGCGAGGTTGTTAATAATATCATTTATAAATATTATCTTAAACGCTATATCGGACTAGGAATGCATCTTAGATTTAAGTGTTTTATTCGGTAAAATTAATCTAAATTCCAGTTCTATGTCGGAATTTTTTAAGAGAAAAATATACTTACATCGTTTGATACCGTTATGAACTTTTTTTTATAGATCAAGATGAACTGTGATCATTATTCTCAATCGGAATTATAGAAATTTCGAACAATACATTGATGTAGTGCGGAACAGCAACACAAAATAATGGTAAATTCATGTTTATAAGGGAAAACTTTAAAACCGTTGTGAACTGAATATCGATGAAAAAAAGAAAAGACAAAGGTGACATTACAGATGGGCAAACATAAGACATGCTTTTAGCCTACGCGAGAATGAGTAATTAATTCTAGTGAAGGTTAAGCCCTTCAGCCCAAAAAATAGTCTTCTTCTTGGTCGTTCCCTCATTACTGAGGATCGCAACCACAAGTATGTTAGTCCATCTAGGAATATCGGTCCGTTGCAAGGTGGACCGGACAGCCTGATGGATGCTGCCTTTTTTTTCCGACCTAAGCTGAGCTGAGCCTTGAGAGGCTATTTCAGCGTAAACTTAATTAGTAGGTGAGCTCACGGGGCTCGAACCTGACGACGTTGCTAACACGAGCCCTAGCAAGAGCCGTGCTTCGCAGAATCTACCACCGAATCGGAAACGTGACCCACTGAGAAGAACCGGCGAGAAACTCATTGGGCTGTGTCTGCGGGTTAATTTACTCGCCGAGCCCTTCGTCGCAAGCGACGGGTTCGACAAGAACGATGACCGGTGCTTGAGATACCTAAAAGCACCGTTAGTGGATCAGGAGGATTCGAAATGACGTGTTTTGGACGACGTCGACTGCTTTCCATTCTGTCCGCAAGATCGGGAATGTAATTACCGGCGGCCACGATGAGAGGGTTCTCATGTCGTGCCGCTTTGTCGAAGTGACGCAGATGCTGCTTCCAACTGTCCTCTTTATAATGTCCGACAGTCTTGTTGGTTCCCTGCTTTTGGATCGTTTCCGCTCCATTTGATCAAGAATGGGAAGCTTTTTCAGACTATGCCTTGGAGGCCGCATGGCAGGTGGAGAGTCGCCTTGCTTTAGCTTGCGATAGAACGAGACAGAATGGTTTTGAAGGTTTCTCCTTTTTCCCTAGCTAATCGTTGGTAACTCAAGGGGCTATTCCAACTACTCGCGGATCGGTAAGTGAGCTCACAGGCTCAAACTCAGAGTTTGCTATCACGGGCCTTAGCTAGAACAGTGCTTCGCAGAATCTACCACCGGATCGGAATCGCGACCCACCTAAAAAATCCGCCAAGAAATTCAGTGGTTTTCTTCATTTCAAATGCGTAAACTGTATACATATCTTCTTTATTGTATGTAAATAGATGAGCTTATTCTGACCTATTGAAGCTGGAAAGGCTCTTCTAGGTTACCAGTTATTCGTTATTCATAAAAAAAGACTACATTGACTACTACTAGAATATTCGAGGTCCATCCAAAGAAGGTGGGTTAAATAGAAACGTTGCAGTAGAAGTAGTGATGCCAAATTAACCCAATTTAATATGCTTAGCAAAATAACAAAATTCGCTAGCTTCATTTCAATACAGTTTCATTAATCGTCCAAAGAAATGAAAGCCAATTCACGTAAATCACTCGAATATACTTTCTTATAAAAAAAAAAAAAGACATTCATTAGAACGCGGACCAACAATAATATTCATAATTTTATTATGATATAATAATTTAAGCCGGTTAGATACGCGTCCAATTTTATTTGAGATAACGATGACACGAAATGTGTTACAGATGATTTGTTTATAAACAGAACTCTGAATGATTTTACCGGGGTCGGTGTAAAGTGAATTTATTATCGTTTTGTGAATGAACGAAACTGGCTCGCTCGGGTTTTGTTTGAGTTTCGTATAAATCTTTATTGTTACACTACGTTTTCATTCATTGCAAAGTTTCGATGTTGTTTGTATTAATACGAATTGCCGCTTCAAAACATTGTGCGGCCGCATTAGCTAACGTTTTAGCTGGGAATGATCATCGCGATGTCTTTCGATTCGACACTAAACACGATCGACGCTGATATGGTTCAGTAGGTATTCGTTCATTATTAATAACCTTAATTACCAATACTGGGTGCATTCGAGGTTTTTAAAAATCTCATTAGAGGAAACGAAAATTTATACATAACTAGTGATGCCCCGGTAGTCGAAATTCGACTATAGATAATTAATTGAAATTATAAGTTTGTACACTATATGATTCTATTGTCAAAGACTACTTATTATACTTCTATAATCACAGATTTAATCTTTTTTTTTTAAGAGATTTTATGGCCTGGTAACTGAGACCTTTAAGTCATGTCTTATTTTAATTTATATTAATATTTTTATGAAAAATGATATTATGGAGTGAAATGAAATGAAGACGACTAATTTGAGACATTAATCATCTGGGATGAAATTAAATGAAATGAAATGGGATGAAATATAATCTCAGTAAAATGGTGGTCATTTACTAAGATTTTTTTAAGTGGACTTTTTGGAAGATCCCGAGAAGATACGTCCAGCGGCTTTGTTTCATTTTTCCATATTTGTGCACTTTCACAGATATTAAACAGTTAATAAACCACCATTATTACACATTTCAACCCGAAGAAACACTAAATAGACAAAATAAAACAAATCACACAACTTCACTCCTCGCGTTCCCGCCAAAAAGTCCAGATTTAATCTATTCTCAATTTGACCACAGACTATAATCAATAAAAAAAGGTTGACAATAAGCAAATAGTATGCATGCGGGTGTATCAAATACATGTTAGTGTGTGTAATTTTTTTATTTTTGATTTAATGTATTTTTTATGCATAATTTAAAAAAAAGCATTCTGCACTCCTTCTCTATATTCTTTTTAAGTGTGGGAAATTTCATACTCCTCCGTCCGCGCAATTTACGTAAAAAGGGGTCCAAAGTTGTTTGCTTCATGTATTAATATATAGATTCTGTTGCTGTCTCCACAAACCTCGAAAGTAGAAACCGACGTTTTACCGGTATTTGCTGCTATAATTGAAATAACCGTTGGCACTAGTGATAGAAGCTACTACAGTAGTAATTCAGAAGGGACTATAAGTCATCGTAGTTCGGACATCTCCCTGATCAATTATCAGATGCGATTCTCTGACCCTAACTTGTACGCTATTAAACTATAATAAAAAGCACGACTCACCCATTCTCGTCTTTAATCTTCTTCTTTCTGCCTCTCTTCTTGGGCTGGTTGAGCAGCATTTGCTGGGGGTGCATCATGTGCGGATGGTGATCGGGATGCATCTGTTGCAAGTGATGCTGGGGTTGCTGGAGCATCGCGCACATCGTTTCTTCTTCGACGAACGAGTACGGATCTTCGCACTCTCTCTTGATGCCTGTTCGTTTAACATTGTTTTTATCTTTTTGTTACATACACTATGCACTTAAATAAATACACCTGAAGATGTTTACAGCCATGCAACAAGCCCGCATTAAGGCTTGAGTTAGAAGTCTTAATTGCATTGTAATAACGACCCTATATTCTGTCCTTCAAACCGAGATTTATGACTGCGCGGTAGAAATTGTCAGGAGAGTGTGGAGGCATAACCTACTCATATAACATCATTATTGTATAGTAGTATCACTTATTACGTTTAACTACAAATCCAAGCTTTTTTTTTTAATTTTTTTTATTGCTTTGATGGATGGACGATCTCACAGCCCACCTGATGTTAAGTGGTTACTGGAGCCCATAGACCACAACGTAAGCGCGCCACCCACCTTGAGATATAAGTTCTGAGGTCTCAGTATAGTTACAACGGCTACCCCACCCTTCGAACCGAAACGCATTACTGCTTCACGCCGGAAATAGGCGGAGTGGTGGTTACCCGTGCGGACTAGCAAGAGGTCCTACCACCAGTGATAAGTGGCAGTTTTTGGTCCCCCTACCTAATTGTTATTACCCTAAGGTGCTATTCCAACAACGGAGTGCTGTCGGTGCGTGATACCTATTCAAAAGCTCGTCTGCATCACTGATCATTAAAGCGCGGGTTATACTTGGACATCTGATATTTATGAGTTTGTCAGTTACAATGGTTCTTGAGCGTTTTGATCGTTACTAATTTTGAGAATGCGGTTTTCACTAATATGTATTTTTAAGACAAGGTTGTGCTGTCGTTGAATGCGACTACGAAATGAGATCTGTAAGCATTGAAAGAGTAAGGTTTGCAATAGGATTTTGAATTTTTATTATTATTAAAGAATGGTACTGGTTGTAGGACCTCTTGTGACTCCGCGCGGGTAGGTGCCACCGCCCTGCCTATTTTTGCCGTGAAGCAGTAATGTGTTTCGGTTTGACGGGTGGGGCAGCCGCTGTAACTATACTTGAGACCTTAGAGCTTATATCTCGAGGTGGGTAGCGCTTTTACATTGTAGATGTCTATAGGCTCCAGTAACCACTTAGCACCAGGTGGCCTGTGAGCTCGTCCGCCCATATAAGCTATAAAAAAAATGGTATTCATCAAATATTATATCTAGATTATTAATTTGCCATTCACAAACGATGAACCTGTCGAAATTTCTAGATGGCGATCACACGGAAATGATTATTGCAAGTTCATGATAATTTTATTACGAAATACATTTAAATACACTGTATATGTAGTAATAGACTTACCATTATAAATATCGTCGTCGCGTTTTTGCGGTGGCGCGTACTGGGGATGCGGCTGGTGGGGCTGGTGCTGATGGGCTTGGTGGTGCTGGCTCATATCGTACGGCATGTCATCACGTTTGAACGAATAGGGCTCGTTGTATTTAGGGAAGGGGAAGTATTGCGGCTCAGGCTGGGCCAGGGGCGGAGCTGGCTGCTCGAAGTGCCTGTGGACGTTATGCTTGGGTAAATACGTTTTCTACTGTCATTCTTTTGTGCCACCCAGTGTTAGTGGTTAAAGAAGCCAACAATGTCGAATTCTCAAATGTGCCCGTTATCGCTCTCGTCGAACCCGTCGCTTGTGACGTAGGGCTCGGCGAGTAAATTAACCCACAGACACAACCCACTGAGTTTCTCGCCGGATCTTCTCAATGGGTCGCGCTTCCAATGTGGTGTTCGATTCTGTGAAGCACTGCTCTTGGTAGTGTTAGCAACGTCTTTAGGTTTGAGCCCCGTGAGCTCACCTACTCGCTCGGTTACGCTGGCATAAACTCTGAAGTCTATCAGCAGAAAAAAATATCTCAAATGTGTTCGTTGTCTTTCACGACACATTAGGCTACACCACACACCACAGTCAATAATGAAACACTTGTATTTATTTCGAAACAATTACTTTATCTCATGCATCGATTTAAAGCACTATCTTTGAGAAAAGCAAAGTCGAAAGTGCTTTGAAACACTTTGGCGTTCCTTATACGAGTCGAAATTGCAGCATGTCCAACACCTTGTTATTATTATTATTTTTGTAATCCATGCCATTATGCGTATACTGTAAAACAGACAGGCGAATGATCTGGAGTGAGGACTGGAGCTTATCTTATCTAACCGAGAGGCTGGGTATATATTTGCTTGACATTTCGACCCTTGTCACCGGTTCTTCTCAGTGGATTGAGATTCAGCGAAGCGGTGCTCTTGCTACGACAGATGTTAGCAAGCTCTCCCAGGCAGGGCCCCGTGAGCTCGCCTACCAGTCATGGTGAAACCTGAATAGCTCTCGAGGCTACTGGCATATAGGAAGACCAAAAAACCCTTGAGGAACTTTTGTGCATTCTCCAATCTTTTAGTCTGCATCTCCAAACAACGCTTACATTCGTATTGAAGTTATCCTTGTTAGACCATCGCATCTAAGAAATATGTTGTGCATAGTTCCTACTTCTCCCAGACAGTGCAAGTCGCATCAACAGCGTTCACTTTCCGTACTTATTCTCCAGTGCAAAATGACTCGGATAACTTCTCCCCGGGATTTTCCTGTATTAGTTCCATTTCGGAAGCCAAGTGAAAAGCGCTTTGTCTGCATTGATATTAGGGTTATTTTTATTTAGTTCGGTACAGAGGCTTACATTTAGTACTAGATCCCGCAAACTGACGGAAATTTGACGGATCATTCATGTCATTCTATCTAACATGTTAAAAACGAGACAAAACAGCCCGAACTGGTACGGGAATAAATGCTACTCAAGAGGTATAAAGGTGCGGACAGCGCATTTTGTTTCATTCGAATGAATTAGCATAGTTGATAGTTAATTTAGCATAAAATATACGTTACAAAGATAGACAAGCTCGTATGCAAATTGGGAAAAAAGTAAAAACAATAAAAAAAACTGAAGTGCAATTAACGAATTAAATTAATTTAATATTATTTTAAGTTAGAGAGGTACAATTTAAGGGACGTTTTAATCGAGAGCACACGTTTTACCTGTAGGGTTCTGGCTCAGGTTGCGGGTACCGCATCATTGGTTCGTAGGGCGGGTCGGGCGGCGGGGAAGGTTCGGCCGGCGGCGCGGGCGAACCCTCCGCGCTGGAGGGCTTCCGGCGCGCCGCCTCGCCGCTGTTACTCGTCTCGTACCCGTCGTCCTGGCTCTCGGGCGGTTTGGGCTTATCATCGCCCTCCTCCCTGCCATATAATCGAAAATGTTACGAAGCCAATACAACAAAACTTATGCGATCCCGATGACCTAGATAGAAGAGCTACCTTAATGTTTAAACTCTCCCTAATTCCTATTTTGAGTGCAAGTTTACTCACTCTTTAATGCCACTTCTATTTCTGCCACAAAGCAATCACGTATTTCGGTTTGAAGGCTGGTCATTCCAATCTCACTGAGCCTTCGAACTCATTTTCCAATTTGGCGCCCAAATATGACTTCGAAGGTGACTATTGAAAATTGGAGAACCTACGTTAATAACAATAATTAGTAAAAACTTAGCATTCGCAAATGGCTCATTCTCGTAATGAAACTACCACCTCAAATCTGAAGTACACGACGGCATTCACTTGGGCACATGTAATTCACACGTATGGCTTCTGATCATCGCTTAAATCTAAATCGAATGAAAGGTGAATAAAAAAGCATGATAGTATTACGTACGAGGACCCGAATCTTCTAAGCACTTAAGATAATAAATAACCCCACAACCTTCGCACCGAATTTTACAACATCTATCTGTAATCCGAGAGGAGGTAATGTCATGCGGCGTATAATATTTAAGTGTTTCGTAAATGGCAACATCAGTGCATCGAAAACAAAAATTTATTCACGTAATTAGCATAAAGAATCACCTACGCGTAACAAATCACAGTCGATTCGGCCACCGGACCCATTCAAATTAATGATGACCGGGCGCGCAAGCACTTGATTAATTCAAGTTTGGATCGTTTTTAGAACATTAAAAAAAAGCCGCGATCGCCGCAGCCAAAATAAAAAGGAAACATTAAAATATTATAAACTTTAATTATGTCATCAATAAAAATTTATTACATCACCATTAAAAGTTAAAAGCATTCGAATCACTTTAACGTATCCACGTTAAAACAATATTCACGCTCGATATTAATGTAGCGTATGTGAATTAATTGCGGACATTAAATCGATTGATCGCAGACACAAAATCAGTAGTTCGGTCACACAATAATAATATATCGATTATAAAAATGTAGCTCGTTAATTTCGAAATGAGAGATCAGCTGATCGTGTCATTGTGTGACGTGACGTCGTGCAATAAACACAAAACACGGACGACGGACGATCCATTCATAAAACTGTACTTAAATTATTATAAGTTACCGTTGTCGGCGCTCGTTGTAAACAAAACGGGGATCTATTAATATTGGACTATTGTGTAATGTTGTTTTACATTGTCGCCGTGTCCGCGAGTGATTCTTTTTGTTTTTTTTTTTTGTTTTGTTATGATCGGTACGAATGTAAACAAATGACCAGACATCGTAAAGCAATAAAATTTATATTGCCTACGTTGACCGATCGCTGACTATAATAAACGTTTTTTGTTTTTTTTTTCATCTTCGATTGTTCATATTTATGAGTTTACGAGGTTGCGTAGTAAGCTTCGGTTTTTTTGTTCTACCTTTGCTGATAGCCTTGAGAGGCTATTTCAGCTTCGCCCTAACGTTTGTAGGTGAGCTCGCGGGGCTCAAAACGGAGAGTTGCTAACACTGGTTCTGGTGGTAGGACCTCTTGTGAGTCCGCGCGGGTGGTTACCACCGCCCTGCCTATTTCTGCCGTGAAGCAGTAATGCATTTCGGTTTGAAGGGTGGGGCAGCCGTTGTAACTATACTTGAGACCTTAGAACTTATATCTCAAGGTGGGTGGCGCATTTACGTCGTAAATGTCTATGGGCTCCAGTAACACCAGGTGGGCTGTGAGCTCGTCCACTCATCAAGCAATAAAAAAAAAAATCGACCCTAGCAAGAGCCGTGCCTCGCAGAATCTACCACCAGATCGGAAACGCGACCCACTGAGAAGATCCGGCGAGAAACTCAGTGCGCTAATCGGAGTATGAAACGTACAAATCTATTGAATGTTTAAATCAAATAACACAAGTCTAGGGGAATCTAGATGGACATTTATTTTACAATGCGGTTTTATTCAGAGTTAAATATGTACTATGCACATAGTATAATCGTAAATAGATTTTATTTCGTTGAAACAGACACGCGGACCGCCTATCCGATGCTAAGTGGTTGCTGTCGCTCATAGACAACAATGTCTACAGCTGTCTCTTTTCAAACNGTTTAAATCAAATAACACAAGTCTAGGGGAATCTAGATGGACATTTATTTTACAATGCGGTTTTATTCAGAGTTAAATATGTACTATGCACATAGTATAATCGTAAATAGATTTTATTTCGTTGAAACAGACACGCGGACCGCCTATCCGATGCTAAGTGGTTGCTGTCGCTCATAGACAACAATGTCTACAGCTGTCTCTTTTCAAACCTTATTGGAAGAGCTACACATCTTATCACTATGCAGAAATTCGTTCCAGAGTCGAAGTACCTACGTAGCGATCATGACGACTCAAAACGGACTGTCGATAAACGCGGCCGTTCCAAGTGGTAGAGATGAGTTGGCCTCCTGTGGCGGACGGCTAGTGTAAAGATGAGTAAGTCATTCCAAACAATTCTTCAGAGCCCTCCCTCTCCACATATACTACAAGACACAGAGAGCACTAGTTTCTTCGTACACTCAGAGAATGGAAGCCAATACCAATTTGGAATTCAGAGTAAATTGCAAAGAGCCTTGTGCCCTTCTAAAGACACACCTGTTATGTATTTGTCGGAGCATCAGTGGAAATAGCTTTAATTTATTAGGTTGGAAACGTCAGGTTAATTACCTGGGTGGAATCGGAGATGGCGCTGGGATCGTAGTTGTTAATGGATACACTTGTTATTGACTCGTTTATATACATTGACCTACGTCCAAGTGTCAGTTAATCTGTTGATGACGTCTGACATTTGAAAGGTTAGTCTATGACGGTTGGATGACTAGACAGACATTTGAGAGAGAAGGCATTCTCTTTGGTGGCGCCATTATGATCACACGTATCTCGGAGATCACCGCGTTTCTAGGCTGCAATTATTTGTGTTCTTATTTCGAATCTAATCTAAAAATTGATTGACTACGACACATCTGATGATCGGGAGGAGCTCAACCCGACATATTCATATTATAAAGTTATTCGAATTAATGAAATAAGTAGGTAGATAACAATCGTGTCGTAACACAGTGCTCATATAAATAAAAGCGTATTAAAAAGCATTTTAAATTCGTGGTCTCGGGACGGGACTCGGTATCACTTACGGATCAAATTATTAATTTTTCATAATAACTCACTACGTCCTTATAAGTTCTTAAATTTTGGTTTGTTTGTTTGTTCACTAGGGGTTTCTAAGCCGATTGTCATGAAAGTCATATAGGTGGTACGCGAGAAGTTGGTTTCAAGCGATCTTAAATAAATCTTATTTATTTTTTTATTGCTTAGATGGTTGGACGAGCTCACAACCCACCTGGTGTTAAGTGGTTAGTGAAACCCATAGACAAGTACAACGTAAATGCGCCACCCACCTGGAGATATAAGTTCTAAGGTCTCAAGTATAGTTACAACGGCTGCCCCATCCTTCAAACCGAAACGCATTACTGCTTCACGGCTGAAACAGGCAGGGCGGTGGTACCTACCCGCGCGGACTCACAAAAAGTCCTACCACCAGTAAATCGTGTAATTTGCGATAGGAAGAACCACGCGTGGCCTTTTTATTACACTCTCAATACACTACACACACTCTCACACGGTCTCATTAGTTTATAAGTAATAGAAAATGTCACAAAATTCAAACAGAGAAAATGCCGCCGGAGTACTTCCAACGAATGACGTGACGTATAACATTCCACAATAATTTACACCTTTGATATACAAATATCGCAAGCAATCAGTCTGTTAATTAGGTTAAGAGGGTAGTTTCAACCGAACCTGCATGCGCGGGTAGCGTTTTTAGTCACGTGACTAAAACCGAATATACAGTCATACAGAGCAAACTTTTTCAAAGACATCTATATATTAATACGTGGAGCAAAAACTTTGTATCCCTTTTTACGAAAATTGCGCGGACGGAGGAGTATGAAATTTACCACACTTATAGAGAATATAGAGAAGAAGTGCACAGTGCTAATATTTTTTTTAAATAATGCATAAAATCTATATATTAATACGTGAAGCAAAAACTTTGTATCCCTTTTTACGAAAATTGCGTGGACGGAGGAGTATGAAATTTTCCACATTTATAGAGAATATAGAGAAGTGCACAATGCTAATATCTTTTTAAAATAATGCATAAAATATACATTAAATCAATAAAGAAAATATTACACACACTACAGACCATGTATTTGACGCACACATGCATGCATACTATTTATTGTCAAACTTTTGTTCTTGACGTCTGTTGTCAAATTGAGAATAGATTAAACATTGTTTGTCTTTGTTAATATTTTTTTAATAGTGTAGCCTTGGCGAAATTTGTGATTATAGAAGTATAAAATACAATCATAATAGTGTACAAACTTACAATTCCAATTAATTATAGTCGAATTTCGACCACTAGTTCAAAGATAATTCAACAAATTTTAAGATTGATTATCTTTTTGAATTTTATAAAATATTAAAGAAGAAGAAAACGAGCGTCGTTTATTAGTCAACTGTTTGTGTATAACTTTATCGTGATTGCTATTTATTTAAATTTTTAATTATGCATCTAGCGAAGCGGCGTCTGCAAAGAGCTAATTTGCGGATCGAGCCACTAACAAAGTAATCTTTGTTTATGGGTTTATTAATATATATTATTATATATTTTTTAGTAATATATAAGTATATATATCGACGCTTGAAAGGCAAACATGACTAAGCGACAATAACTGCTTTGTACATTAATGATAGGCAATAACCATATTCGATGCGCAAAAAAAATATATTTCTAGGTCTATTAATATAATTTCAATCCTACAGCTACTAGCTAGATTCTACTGCAGCTAGATTCGTTAAAATAAATTTTGTTTTCAGGTATTTCAACTTTAAATTAGTCTACTGTAAAGTTCACGCATTG